AAGTAGGATTGGCTGTCTAATACTGTATATTTGTGTTAAACAATCATATGCCTGCAAAGTCATTGACAGGTTTAAGCAAAATATTTAATAATATTAAATTATAACGTCAAATGTACACATACAGTATGGTACACGATCAGTAGTGAAAGCATTTTAGGAGGTTTTAGATTTAGGTTTACTGATTTGGACACATAAACTTCATGATACACCTATTTATTACGAAATACATTGTTTTCTTACTGCGATCATAACATTGTGTGAGTTTATACGGAAGTTATTTAATGTACTAAACAGTCGGGATGGCGAGAGCAGAGCACTAATGAGATTGTTTGAAATGATGCATTTAGAGCACCAACAGATTAAAGGCAACACACTCGCTTCAGTCTGTTGCAAGACGTGGGCAAGCGAAGACAAACAGTATACACCCATAGGAATACAGTGCTTGAACGCGGAGGGGCTGACCATTATACTACTAGACTCCATGGGTGAGTTAATTCTATCCAGTGTTACTTTGTAGTAAAATAATATCATGGCATTTATTTAAAAAGCCGGCAGAATCTTCTGAAAGCGGAAAAGAGACTGGTTTGATGTTGACATTTCACTTGTTTATATAGCCTGAAACATAGATAAGCTTCTACAATCCATAACCGTTTCGGTTATCATTTACAGTTTGTTTTCAACTTTAGCTTGTTCTACAAGCCTACATTTAGCCAAGGTTTTCGTTGTTTTAACGCAATTTTTTTCGTGATTTCGAAGGCTTTTCTACTACTTTCAATAAATATGTAAAATGTATTAGCTTAGTTTTTCAGTTGCATCCTGAAAAAAATGCTATCTCTGCCATGTAATGATTTTCATTAAACGAAAAAAGGTTATTCATTGAGTTCATTAAAAGAAAGTGGGAATGTTTTAATTTGTAGCTACTGCAGAGGAAGGTCAGCAATACAAGGCAAATTAAGTTAAATTACAGTAAATTGGAGGCAATTAATGCGCTGGTTTATGATGTGATCTCCAATAAGCAATCAAGCGGTGAAATAATGAAGAATGACAACTTCTACCTTCGTGTCGAATCAGGTTATAAAAGTGAAAATAGGTTCGTTTATGAGTTTAGACAGCCAGAACAGGAATAGGAACTGTGGTTTTCTAACGCTATAAAAAAGAGGAATTACAGTATTTTTCTGAAGATTACTTCCATCTTTGTACTTTACCATGCCACTTGAAGACAGGTCTGCTACAGTATGTTACCTTATATTTCAGTGACCGAATATGTGGAAAGGTTTGGTCTTCACCAAGGAAGTATAGTAGATATCGATGTGATTAAAGGATATGAATCCGGCGAGTAATGACCCAGATAGCACCTGTTTTAGTGTAATCATAGCTTCACTACTGCCATGCTAGGAATAAGAATATAAACCATTGGATTTAATGAAATCCCTCGAGATTAGAGCTCATGTGCTGAGAAAATTGCATAGCAGATAGTTTTTTTTCTTTGTACTCTATCACCATATGAGCGTGTAAGCTTCTGTATGAAGTCCATAAATTTGAAAAGCAATAGAAGACACAAAGTCTGATCATCAATAATTTATATTTCCTTTAGTGGAAACGGGTTGTCGCTTGGATTTTTTTTTGTGCAATCTGTTGTCATGGCAATATGTCTTGTTCTTAATATATGTGGTTTTTAAATGGTATTAAATGAAGGGCGGTTGGTGTTTCAGTTTTTAATCCGGCGTTGAACTAATCCGCGGATCAGCGTTTTGCCTTTGTCAAAGAGCTTTGAACAATCAGTGGGGCACACATTCACGGTCAAAGAAATATGATAAATAAAACGACATAATCAAATTGACATTTAAGAATAATATGTAATTTATAGACATTAGTTTAGGTACAGTATGTAGTGGCTCAGATTTAATAGTCATAACTATTTTGCATCTTTGAGTTTTTCTCTGTTTTGATGGATTACAGCATATCTCTTTGAAACGTTACATAGAAATGAATTTTCGGTTACATAGAAATTAACTTCCAGTGTGTTGTTAGACTCTTCAAATATAAATTGCATATCAGATATTATTTTTAGATAGACTTGAAAAACACAGGTTGTTATCGTATACTCTATACAATACCTTGTCCATACATCAGCAGCTCTGTTGTGTTCAAGCACTCAAAGCCTAATGGAAGCTTTGTGTGGGAAGAGGAATGTGTGAAGAAGCAAGACAATGAGACAATCTTATGTTTTTCTTGTAAGCATTTCACCATTTCCAACCTCGTCAGTTAGCTGTTATTATTTCTTCTGGTTAAAAAAACAAAAAACTAAGGTTGTAGCATATGCATATACTGTATGCTAAACTCTCTTATTCCTACACAAATGATAAAGACTTTATCTAAAACAAGCAGTTTCAAAACATACAGTCTAAATTCCCATAAGTGTTTTTAAGCAATTTTTTAAAGCAAAGAATTACATAGTAGCTGACATCTGCTGTTTACAAAAAAAAGACATGATGCAGCTAACTCACACTCTACTGAGCTCACTTCATGATTCAAGTGTGAAATCTGATTTGATATCTATGACATCAGTCCACCTCACTGAATTGTCATGCCTTGTTTATTTAATAAATATCTTTGGAAAATATGGAGCATATAAGCTGACAAACTGATAAGTGAAGTCTTCAATGAATGTAAAGGAAATTAATTCTTTGGAGTAGATGAACCAGCATTGCTGTCTGTCATTGAAATGTGGTACTGATAGCAAGGATTCCTGAAGTACTGCACAAGGCTGGCTGACTTCTAAAACAGTGTAAAAAGATTTTGACATAAAAACATTATTGATCCTGAAGGGCACCATTCATTTTACAAAAAGAGTCCTTTGGTGACTTTGTTTTTCTTCTAAAGTACAAATATAATATTTTTTACCTTTATTGTTATTATTTTAGGTTCATCGGATTTTTAGAACGTGGAGAGAAATATTTAGGAGCACGAGAGTTAAAGGGAAGTGTCCAGATTTGGTCTGAGTACTGAAGATCCTCTTTTCCTCTGAAACACACAGTTACTGTAGGACAGTCATCTCTTTATTCGTAGAGGGGGATATCTGGGGTTATGTGAGATTGCAAGGCAGGTACAGTACAGCTTCTGTTTTCTTGGTGTTGGGCCTTCCTGGGACTCAAAGACGGCACAATCTTATCTAGTCCTCGCAATAACAATTTGTGTAATGTCAGCAGGGCAGCCCAGAAGAACTCACATTTGATCTTTGAGTAGATACACTAGACAACATGAGGCTTCTCTTTTCTTCTGACAATTGTATTTGTTTTCATTTTCATTTTTTGAATTTAATTGTTAGGGTTATTTTTTTATTTTTTACCAAATTAGATTTATTTTTTTATTGACTGTAATAAATCTGCATTTTCAGGTCGTGTGTAGGTTTTAACGTTGAATCGTTGGAATCAACCAACACAACAATACAATATGGTGCTTTGGAAGGTAAAATCACAGATGTGATTTTATATAATGCTTCCCATTAGGTAGCATTCAAAAAGTAAATAACAAAAATAATGTGTAAAGTGAAATATTTTGGTTATCCACACTGAAGACCAAGCATGTACTAAAAGAATTACCCCATGGCAGCCTTAATTGTGTGAAAGTTTGGAAAAAAGTTGGAAAACATCAGTTGTGTAGAGGAACAGAATTTGAAACATGGTAATATTTAATTCTTCTCAAAGTACTAGAATTTCTCTACAGTTCGTATCTTTTTCTTTTTCCAATTAAATTTGTCTTCAATTCTTATTAATTTATTTAGATATACTATATTTAATTATTAATTAAGACATGACATTTCTTGCCAAGCTCATTAGATGTTATCAAAGAACAAAATAGCCTTCTTGAATAAATGATTTTCACTATACTGTATACAGGGGGTCATTCATTGGTTGTCTTTTATGGTTGTTGTGTAAATGATTTTCTAAGTATAATTTTAAAGCTCATCAAGAGCTTAACTAACATTATTTGTCCACATTTAACCCATTGAAGTTAATATTGGATATACGACATAGAATACAAATGCAGAAATACTGAGATCATCCAAACAAGCACTTCATTGATGTTCTTACAGGTACCTTCATCAGCATTTAATTTAGCTTGTATTTGATATAAAACAAAGTGTGAACATATCCTGTAATGGTTTTGGAAAGATAAAGATAATAAATCCATCCAGTACAGGGTCACAGGGGAGTTGGAGCCTATCCCACCAAGTAATGGGTGCAAGGTGGGATACACTCTGGATGGTTCTAGTAGTTCACGTTACTAGTACTTTTATTTCTTTACAAACACTTTCTTTAAGAGAGGGCTGTGATCATTTCGCCTTTTGTGTCCATTGCAGGGCAGACACACAAAGACACGGACATACTCTTGTCATTTTTAATGACCTGGCTTAGAAAATGCTTTACAGGCAACTTGCATTTTATCAAATAATTATCCTCAAGACTTTTTCAGAGAGTGTAAAATAAGAATGTGTTTTCAATAGTATTTAGTTGTGGGATCTAGTGATAAATAACCCACAAGGAATGTATAGTATGTCTCGGACTGTGGGAGCACCTGGAGAAAATCCATGTGAACATGGCAAGAACATACAAACTCCACCCCGATAGTGCTGTGGGTCTGGAATTGAACCCTGGGCCCCAGCAATGCTAACCACTGTTCCACCCATCGTCCACCATAATAAATATACTACTTGTATCTTTTTTCTAATCCAAAAGTATGAATATTCATAATGATGTCATTGTATATATTGATCTATTTGTTTTTCAAGTAGTCTACACTGCACAAGATTGCTACTTACATTAGCTCACCAGATGGATCATTGCTGGAGAAAATGGCAATGAAAGTTAAGTCCAACAATCTAGGCTCCCTACTGGAATTCCACATATGCCTTTTACTGCTAGTATTAACATTATTTTATGAATACACTGTCCCACTGATTGTACATAGTTCAAATAATTTTATATCTTTGTTTGCAGTTAATTTCTCCTGAAGAGGGAAAAGGAAGTGGAGAAGATTACATACAAGATAACAGTAAGTAGCTGGATAATCGTGACTTAAGTTTTACACTCCCTTTTGGGGGGATATCTCCGAGCCTTGCATCTCCGTATGAGCCTTGCAGTCCCACAGGGAGACACAGAATATCTCAAATTAAAGCGTGATAGTAGCATTATCCTCCATTCATCTCGGCAGAAGTGAAGCAATGTCAGGGGAACATGTAAAGTCTAAGTAAACTTATTAAAGACCAAACAACAGTTGTTCAGTGTTTGAACCTTAGGAAAGGAATGACTTTTGTATATTCATAAATTTTGGGATTTTCTCACTTTGAACAATTGGTATACAAATAAAAAATTCTAAAGATTTAGGCCTAATTTCCCTTCGGGATCAATAAAGTCTTACTGTATCTATCTATCTAATTTGTCATTAATGACTCCTTTGGCAATTTTCTAATTCAATGTAGAACTAAAAATGAATATCATCCTGTCGCTTTTTCTGAGTGTTTAAATATATATTGACTGATGTTACATCTGCTGTGCTCTACAAAGCTGCTCCAAGGCATTATGGTTTCCCATGATTGAGTTAAGCTGACTGAGAAAGTTGAGCCCAGGGGGAAGGGTTGGTTCCACCATATGGCAGTGGGATCCAGACCCCATCAGAGAGATAGCAAAGGGTTAGATTCTGTACTCACACTCTTGGGAGTGTTGACAGCAGTCCTTTCAGCTTCTGCAGCCACCTCTATCCCTGTAGGGCTGCTCGACACTATTGTGCCATTAAAGTTGAGCCTCAGCATCGAGGGGTAATGTCCAATGCCTGAAATACAGTGGAGAAGTACAGTAAGAAGAGAGGAGAAATGTGTCTCAGTGAGGGCTCTTCTTCTATCCTTTACATGTGGTCAGACCTGTAAGTGCTCACTGTACTGCAACCCTGAACAGAAACAAACTTTGTATAATATATAGGAGGTACAGTTAATATTAACAATTTTAATTGTTGCACTTTTTGCATAATATTTGTTAGGGCTCAATATTCTTTGCACTGTTATGTTAGGTGAAGGCTACATCTGTATTGAAAGCTAGATGAAAATTTGATTCTGATGTGTACAGTTCAGTGAACTGTGTATGCGCAGTGAATATTTTCCATGCATCCTTGATAGCACTACATGCATGTGTCTGCCAATAGTCCACTCAATGAATGCTGCACAGCACATAGTTTGGTATTTATGCTTTTCCAGATTTTATTAGTTATCATCACTTTGCCATTTCATTCAGTCTGTTTCCATTAGCCAGGAAATCAATCATGACCAGCAACATTAATTGTTTAATAACCACAGAGGTATCACAGTAAGAAATCACTGTAGTGATACTAACACTAAGATTGTTTTGTCTTTTCTTTTTCTCTGTTCAACAGGAGTGGATTATGAATCATTTATCTTCTAATCCTCTTAGATAGCCATGCTAGATAATCCAAGCAATGTCTCTTAGGAAAAGAAAATGGTAAAACATGTTTTCTGTGGCCTGTGTTAGAGCGCTTCTTAAAATTGGTCAAGAGGGTACTAGGACTGAAGTAGCAAAAAATCAATCTCTCACTCTGTAAAACATCTAAATATGCCAAGTGAATTGCATGAGCTGACAGACTTCTTATCCACTTTACTATCATTAGAAAAGCATGGATGGATTGACACTGTCACTTGCTGGTTTAAAACCCCCAGCTGTTCAGTGCTGATTAGTGTTTGATTCCTAATGCTGTGCACTCAAATCAGTATTTTAGCAAATTCAAAGAGCTGCTCTATACATATTTCACAGATGAGAACCTGTACAGGTAAGGTACATCAGACAGCAAAAATGGGACACACTGTACTGTAGGTCAGTGCCTTGAAAAGATGAAGATGTAGGATGGAGCACTTAAAAGCCCTCATTGAAAACAAAAATCAATGGGCACTCATGTGAAATTAGAAAATTAGACATGTTCATGTTCATTTATATCACATTACATCACTTCCAATAACCGCTTATCCAATTCAGGGTCATGATATCCCACAGCCTGTCCCAGGATACATTAGTAGCAAGGTGGGATACACTCTGGATAGGATGCCAGTCCCTTTGCAGGGCACACTCACATTAGGGACAATGTTTTTTTTTTTTTTACAGAATCTTGTTAACCTGCCAGCATGTGTTTGGATAGTAGGAGGAAATAGGAGCACCTGGTGGGAATCTACCGAAATGAGAGAATGTGCTAACTCCACATACAGTAGATAGCAGCCCAGGAATTGAACTCAGGGCCCCAGCACTGCAAAGTATAATAAAAATGATAATAATACCTTACAGTCATATAGCGCTTTTCCAGACACTCCACTCGAAGCGCTTTACACTCCCCTCCACAACCACCAATTTGTAGCACCCAGTTGGGTTACGTGATGGCAGCCAATGTGCGCCAGTACTATCACCACACATCAGCTGTCAGTAGGGAGGAGAACAGAGTAATGAAGCCAATTCATGGATGGGGATTATTAGGAGGTCGTGATTGGTAAAAGCCAGGGCAAAATTTGAAAAGAATAACAATTCAAGGAATTCTCTGGCATTTGTATTGACCAAGTAAAGTCGGGACGTTGGTTTTAAGTCTCATTTGAAGGATGGTGTATTTTTTACAATATCATCACTAAAGTGGGGCATTTGGACCCACACAGACTGGAGGGTGAGTGCTCCCTATTAGTCCCATCAGCACCTCTTCCAGCAGCAGCCTTAATGTCCCTAGGAAGTCTCTCATCCAGGTAGTAAGCCAGGCTCACACCTGCTTAGCTTTAGTGGGTTGCCAGTTATGAGTTGCAGGATGATATACAGTACAGTAGCTTTTTTTAACCTTATCAGCAGTGTATCTTCATTTGTTTATTACCCCAAATGACAGATAAGTTAAAAAAGGCATCAAAAAGGAATATTTTACTGAAGTGTATGTTGGTCTGTATTATGCTGATTGTTATAAAAAATCTAAAGCAATTTTATAAATGTTATGTTATGTTATGTTATGTTATGTTATGTTATTTAAAGTGTACCAGTGAAACATGTACTGGTCTTTTAGAGACTTTCTCTAAAGAAGGTGACATTGCCTTTCCTTCAGAGATTTAGTTTGCATAAAGGCAACATTACATTTAGAGTCTATTTTAAAATATGATTCTATAGTATTGAAATTTGCAGAAGAAATGGCAATGCATGTGAATTAATTGACTATTGTCTGTAATATTCTGTTGTAATTTTAACAAAACTTTATAAGAAGAAGAAAGCGTGAGGTTTTAAAATATTTAATTAACACTTCCACGTTAACACTTGAATGCATTTTCATTAAGTCACCAATTGAAAACATCCAGAATTGATCAGACTCATTTGGTATTAAAACAACGCAGCAATAAGATACTACAAAAATAGTTTTCTATAGGCACATATATTGTAACAGTTAATGTCAGTGCTTATCACAATGATTTGTTTAACTGGTAAACATCTAAAGTTTTCCCTTTAATATCTTTACTTTGAAGCTTCTCTTTACCAGTGACACAACATTTAACCTAATTTGGGATTCCCATTAGACTCACTGTCCTGACTCTTCTGTTGTGTCTGAAATGAGGAGTTTCTCTGAAATACCTCTGGGTCACTGACAGAGAAATTCAATACACATTAAATTGTCTTTTCTAGCGCAGAGCTACTTTAGGGCCTGTAATTTTCATTCACCTACTTAGTCTGAGTTTGTTTATGCCTTTGAAATCACTCCTGTCCCTTGTCATATTATTGTAGTTAACTAATTGATCAGACTGGAAAAATATTGTCTTAGACGCTAAACTAGACTGAATATTTTCATCTGACCAAACTCTGTACCCCAGAAGTGGTGTACTCCACCCTCTGAAGAGAGTTAGTTGAGAAAGTGGTACATGGAGCCACTTGAAGTACATTAGCAAATACATTTCTAGTATCTGAAGGGAGGCCCTTATATATAGTACAAGCCCTCTTGCAGGGAAAATAATGTTTCAAAAGTCTCCAGTTATAACTGTATATTGGGGAGCAAATTTTCTTTTTTCTGAGACAAAAATGGATCCATTGAATGACAACGTTTCTTTCACACACAGGTATTCCTTTTTTCTGTAATGTATTTGTTAATTGTGTTTTTTAAAAGAAGTGTATTATCAGATATAAAGCTTTTTTGCTCCATCGAAAATGAACAAGCTGAGACTGTGTAAGTGTTCTCTTGCCTTATGCCTGCACAAACTATAAATACATACATGCATACAGTTCATGTAAAGAATTCCATTTCAAGAGAAGTTATAACTTAAGAGAGGGTCAGCAGTACATCAAAAATTACATTAAAACAACAAGGGACCCATACAAGTAATTTAATTAATTAAATCAATTCATTAATTCCCTAAAAATGTTACCCGAGGGAGGATGAATGTCACTATGGAGGAATTAAGTGTATTAACGTCTTTTGTACAATCAGTGCAAAATGTCTTTAGTTTGTGATGAAAAAACGATAGCGTAATTGAATAGATAATTAACTATGTATGGGTGCTTCAGTGAAGGTGCAGGTTTAAGGGGCTTCTTGCTTAACATATAAGTTGGCAAGCTGCCTATGTAGAAGGGTAGTAATTCCTACTGGGGCAGAGAGAAATCTCCATGGCAACTGGAGAGAGGCCCAAAGTACCTGATACAAAATTGGGCAGTAGGAGCAGTATGACTGTACAGAAACAAACAGGAGCACAATTTGGCTTCCAAGTGCTTAAGCAAGCAATTAGGTATACGACCATGTGGGACAGGACATGTGAAACAAGAAACCAGATTCTTCCATTAAATTCTTCCCCACGTTTTTGCTTACTTTCTGTTCATACATGGCAGAGCAGGGAGAAGTAATTTTGATGTACACTTACTGTCAGAGATGTCTGTTTAAATCTAATGTGGAGAAATATGTCAGGGTTTTATTCCAAACTAATTAGGAGTGAGAGTGAAGCAATTTTCTTCTTACTAGATAAATGGAAATAATAATAAAAAGCTGTGATCCTC